GTGTGTGTGTGTGTGTGTGTGTGTGTGTGTGTGTGTGTGTGTGTGTGTGTGTGTGTGTGTGTTTGTGTGTGTTAAGCGTGCTAAGGACCCGTCACTAAAATTATAAAATTATAATTAATTGAACTCAACAATGCAAATTAAATGTGCTTTTATACACGTCATTACTTGTTGTTAATGCATCATGCTCTTGTTCAGCTTTAATAATGACAATACATCCTTCCTTTAACGATGTACATGTGACAATGAACTGTCCTGAACAAAACAACTATCCGGACCACGTATGGCGTTCTTTCGATTATCCATTCTCTCAAGTATCAATTTTCGCCATTATTCATTTTCTGAATCATTCATTCTCTCAAGTATTATTCATTTTCCGAATTACCCATTCTCTTAATCATCCATTCTCTCAAGTAATATTCACTTTCTGAATTACCCATTCTCTTAATCACCCATTCTCTCAAGTATTATTCATTTTCTGAATTACCCATTCTCTTAATCATCCATTCTCTCAAGTATTATTCATTTTCTGAATTACCCATTCTCTTAATCATCCATTCTCTCAAGTATTATTCATTTTCTGAATTACCCATTCTCTTAATCATCCATTCTCTCAAGTATTATTCATTTTCTGAATTACCCATTCTCTTAATCATCCATTCTCTCAAGCATCCATTCTCTCAGTTATCCATTCTCTCAGTTATCGGCCCGTTCTTGGAACTCTTTTATCCGGCCCAAATAATATGATGATAAAAGTATTTTGTCTATCACTTGCTGGTATATTTGACCAGGTCTGTACGGGGCATTGACCATGTATTGCACCGAGTTTGACGCATGCATCAACGGAAAGTAGAAAATAAAAATCAGAAGATTGAAAAATACAAACATAGAAATAGAAAACAGAACAAAAGAAAAAAAACCCAAAACCATGAAAAATGTGTTATTCTCTCCGAAGATAAATAGATCGTAGGTCCTTAAATTTAAAAAAAAAATTCTTTCTCGTGTATTCATCCATTCTCTCAATTATTAATTCTCTTCATTATTCTCTGAACAATCCATTCCTCAGGTGCTGAAGCTTGGCACAGATCACAACCTGATGGTAACCATCCAGTCTTCTGGTCACTCCTACATAGGCCGCTCGACTTACGACGGGTGTATACAGATAAATCTAGGGGTAACATGGAATCCATTTAGCTACTGTCGTTACTATTTATTTGTTGTGTCGTCCATTCGGCGATGGACGTTGAATTCGGAGGTCCCGTCTCTTATATAACCAGCTGGTTGGCCTATTACAAAGAGCTATATCATGGCACATGTGGTTTAGTGTTCATAGACCGAAAGGTAGCGGGTTCAAAACCCGTCAAGGCCCGTCGTTATATCCTTGGAAAAGGCATTAAAACGGATAGAGAAATATCTTGCCGGCTTGTTATTGTTTGAGCGATTAACAGGCTAGCATCTATCTATCTATCTATCTATCTATCTATCTATCTATCTATCTATCTATCTATCTGTCTATCTATCTATCTATCTATCTGTCTTTCTATCTATCTATCTATCTATCTATGTATCATTCTATCTATCTATCTATCTATCTATCTATTTATCTATCTATCTATCTATCTATCTATCTATTCTTTCAGTTATCTATCTATCTATCTATCTATCTATCTATCTATCTATCTATCTATCTATCTATCTATCTATCTATCTATCTATCTATCTATCTATCTATCTATCTATCTATCTATTACTATTATTATTATTGTTATTATTATTCAATCATTATGATGATGATGATGGTGATGATGATTATATTTGAGTTTCAATAAAAGAGAGGGTATTGAAACCTTGATTTTTCCTTGATGTTTCAAAGCTCCTCACTTATTTTACTTGGTCGGTCTCATCGGAGAGTGACGTTCAAGTCGGAGGTCCCACCTCAAAAATTAATATTTATTAGGCTACCGATCGATTGTTTTTTTCCCTCCTTTTCCCACTCTTTCCCTCTCACAACTTGTCAAAATGCTCAGCCGACTTTAAGATATTTGTCTATTTTTTGTGCTTTGGAGATAATTCCTCTTTCTATTCTTCGAACAAAACAAAGTAAATGGATGATTTAAATGTCAATGTTTTTGGTTATTGCAGAAAATGAAGAAACGCACGGTGAACCTAAACAGTGAGAGAAACGAGGCAGGGGAGATCACTGTGGAGAGTGGAAACTCTTGGCTCGAAGTTTATACAGAGGTGATGTCCCTTCTGTGATGAGAGTGACAGAGACGGCGAGAAAGATAGACAAGCACACGCAAGAGAGAGAGAGAGAGAGAGAGAGAGAGAGAGA